GAGGCCTGAGCACCAGTGGAAGTCCTTCCCCTTGAGTTGGACTTACCCGCCTGGCCCCCCAGTATTTCCAAATTATCTCTTGTCTCTTCTCTTTCATTTGTGTGCGGCTCCTCTTCCAGATCCTGAACCCTGAACCACGCAGGACGTGGGGGAACAAACTTTACACAATTCATCCCAAATGGCAGGGTTTTAAAATATTAAAAATTTAAATACTTATGAACCCATCACAAGAACCAGAGGATAACAACTGTGGGAGCCTGACCAGACTCCGCCGGACGTGCCTTGAACATGTGCAAAGGCGGTGACTCAGCAGTCTTACTGTGCGCACTGCGCAGGCGCCTTTCTAGAACCCAGATACTGACGTCCCTGCTTGGCAAGAAGCCCCTGCTGTCTGAGTTGGTATAAAATGTGCTGCTGACCAGCGGGGGCGGCTGCTTGTGGGGCTACTTTGAAGAACTGCTTTGTCTGACGGCTCCTGTTTGCCACCATGTGAGCAAGGACTGCTTTGTGGGGCTGCTGTGTCTGCAATGGCCACTTGGTCTGCAATAAAGTCTCTCCTCTATGCCGGGGCTACTCATCTTCACCCACTGCCCGGTGTCCACAGGGGTCCAGTCCCTCGCAGGAGAACTGAGGCCCAACACCAACACACAATAACCTATGCCCCCTCCCCTTCCTTCCACATACCCCACAGGCAACCACAATCCTTTTGTCCATATTTAAAAGGATATCGTAAGGTATATACACTTCTGACATTTTTCGCTGTATTCTCCGTACAAATCATGTGTGATCCATCCCCATCCACATGGAAAGTGTTGTTGTTGAATCCGGAAGCTGCTGCTCCTGAGCGCGGGGCCAAGGCACTGGCTCCGTCATGCCCAGGGACAGGAGTCCATTCCAGGGCACATTTTCCTGGACTGCTACAAGCAAGATGTCCTTGAGGCCGGGACTGCAGTTCTGATTGGCACTCTCTACCCAGTGTTCCAGCTGCAGATCCTTGAATCAAGGACAGTTACTGTTAAAGGCTCCCGTCTCTCCTTCCCATGCAGGAAAGCATTACATACACATACACATATGCACATATACACATACGCACACACACACATATACACATACATACACATACACATACATACATATACATATACATAATACATATGGTGGGGCAAGATATGTGACCAGTGTGTTCCATCGCAAGGTGAATCCTGGCTCTGCTGCTTCCTGTCTGTGCTCCTCGGGTAAGTCACTTTCCCTTTCTGTACCTGTTTCCTTATCAGTAAAATAAGGGTAATATTACCCACTTTGTAGGGTTATTATGGACATTAAGTAAGTATTATGCATAAATATGAAAGGAATGTATATAATATATTTATGGTATCACATGTATTTACTAGAGGCCTGGTGTGCAAATTCGTACACTGGTGGGGTCCCTCGGGGTGGCCTGCCAAGATCGGGCCTCAGCTCGCACCACCAGCCTCGCCTGGCACCCTGCCTTGGCCTGGCTCCGCCCCCTCACCTGCTCCACCATCCAGCCTGCAGGGGATCGGTCAGTGCCTGGGAGCTGGGCAGCTGCCCTGCCCCCCCCCCGCCCCCCCGCCTCCACTGATCACAGTCTGCAGGGCGATCAGGCCCCCACTCACACCCACCTTGGCCTGACACTGCCCACTCACCTGTTCCACCATCACCCCCTCACGGTCCCACTCTCCTCGGGGCCCATCGGGGCCGGCATGCCTCCACTGCCGCCTGCTGCCAGTGCCGCACCGTCCCCTGGTAGTCAACACAGGTCATAGCGAGCTGTTGAATCTCCCAGTCGATGACTGCCCCAGGGGACAATTTGCATATCAGGTTTTTATTATATAGGATACTTAAGAGCATTCTGCAAAGCTAACCTGGCCTCATGGAAGCCCCTCTCTATTGCACCTGATTATATTATTTCCCTTAAAATCTGGCAGATGAATGATTGAGGACATCACCAACTCATGGTCTCCAGCCAGGGAGCCCCATGCCTGGCACAGGACTCTGTGTGACCGCAGGAACTTTTCTCCCGAGGCCACGTCCAAAGGCAGAAAGATCCAACCCCCAGGCTGGAGACCTCTCAGCCTGGCCTCTCCCCCTGACAGCCTGCTGCCCCCAGCGCGGTGCTCTGGGCTGGAAATAAAGCTCCGGACGCGGGGATGCACGCCAAGCGCGGCTGCACGACCCAGAGAAGACACGTTCGTTCGTGGCGAAGTGGCAGGCGGCCTGATACTGAGCTCAAGGCCCGTCAGGAAGTAGTAGCGCTGCTCCAGCAAATTCAGCTCCGTGGGCAAAGCATCGGCCCTGGGACACAGGGTCACGGGTTCCATTTTGGTCAGGGGCAGGCACCTCAGCTGGTTAGATCTCTGGCTGGAGAAGGCAACCAATCAATGTGTCTCTCACGCTGATGTTTTTCTCTGTCTCTGTCTCCCTCCCACTCTTTCTAAAAATCAATGAGAAACTCCTCGGGTGGGGATTAACAACAACGAAGTAGTAGCATGGCACTGAGGAAGGAGTTTTGTCACCCAGTTGGAAGTAAAATGTTGGCCAGAACTACTAACTACTCCCCCTCCCCCAACACCTGTGAGCCCAGTCTCACCAAGACCCGGAAAGCAATGCAAACAGCATCCACACTCGCTTTATTTCAGGAGCAGCATGTGCTCAAAGTAGAAGTGAGAGCCGCCTTGGGGCGCTGTTTAAAGTAATAACCTTAGCCCTCTGACCCCTGTGCCTTCTGAATCAATGGCCACGTGTATCCCATCAGAATTGCCTTGTCCTGGCCGGTTTGGCTCAGTGGATAGAGTGTCAGCCTGCAGACCGAAGGGTCCAAGGTTCGATTCCAGCAAGAGCACATGCCCAGGTTGCATGCTTGTCCCCCAGTAGGAGGGCGTGCAGGAGGCAGCTGATCCATGATTCTCTCTCATTGATGTTTCTGTCTCTCTCTCTCCTGTCTTCTCTGAAATCAATAAAAACATATTTTTAAAAATTTCCCTTTAAAGGTCGCTTCCCCCAACCCCTAAAGGACATGAAAAAGAGGAGGCAACAGGTCACTGAGTCTCTGGAATACTGCCCCAGAGCCCTTCCGGGGATGCGGTGTGACTGGCCGTCAGTCCCACACCTGACTGGGAGGGTGGGAGCAATGGGTGGTGTTGAGCAGAAAACTACACCTGGTGATGGCATCCAGCACCAGGACATACCTTTTAGAATGACGCGGGCATGCATAGCCCTCAGAAAAGACAGCAGCTAAGAGCACTGAGGGACATCACCTCGAAACAGGTGGGGCCGTTCCCACCATTCTGTAAACTAACTCATCAAAACACGTGCAGCCTGTTTAACGGAGTTAATACAAGTATGGCAGAGTGGGCACCAGGGAGAGGAGCCTTTCCCAGAAGGAAACTGGAATAAAGGGGCCACGCTGACGGGCCTGCTAGCTCCCCGTGAGGTTCTGAGAGGAGGTCCCGGGCAGAAATCACAGCAACCCCAAAGCCACTGAGTGGGACTGGACAAAAGGTTGCCCATATTGCTTAGCCCCGCCAGCAACGGCAACGTACAAAACCAAACAGTGTGACACACTAGAGGCGGACAGCTGGCTTTTATTTCTGGACAATCTTGATGCTTCTCATTGCATCTGGGAAGGGAGAGAACATGGACCTCCTGTCGCCCACTGCAGGGCTGAGCAGTGGTGTGGATGTCCGCTGGGTGAGAAGGACAGGAAGCGGCAAGGCAACGAGATCCCTTATGCCTGGGGAGGGGCATGGCCAACAGCCCTCTGGCCTGTGCCCCTCCTCACGGGGAGGCCTCCAGGGAATGCCCATGACTCCCTAAGTGGCCAGAGAACCCAGGGATCCCACTCCGGGGGCAGATGATCAGAGGAGCTGTGCTCTTGCCTCCTGAGTAACTCAGACTGAAGTAGGGCCGGACAGGCCCACAGAAGGCAGCGTGAGAGAAAGTGAAGGTGTGACACCTCTCTGTCGCGTTGTAGAAGGAGACCTCGCCAGCCTCGTAGTCCAAGAAACCCCCACCCGCTGCAGAGGGGTCCGCAGGGGAAGGGCAGTCATCGGGGAGGTGAGAGCCCAGTACTCCTTCCCATACCACAAGGACACTGCCCAGAATCCATTCTGGGGGGCAGAGGTCACCCCGCCTTTCCTGCACACTAAGTCTTCACAGACACCGATGGTCCACTTGGCCTTCTCTCCCACCTCCACCTCCCAGGAATGTCTCCCCGCCACGAAGCACGGAGAGCCCAGGACGCAGGGGCACAGGCTGAAGCGCTCAGGGCTGTCAGGCAGGTCCTGCTGGAGGCAGCTGAGCCGCACCTGCTGCAGGTTGTCCGAGAGGACCAGGCTGGGGTAGGCCGTGTCCGAGTCCAGAGTCACGTCCACTGCAGAGACAGCGGGGAAGGGCAGTCAGCTGAGGGCCAGGAGACTCCCTCTAGGTGAGCACCCGCCTTCCCTCCCACCTGCCTGACGGAGAGGAAGAGCGCCCACTACAGGCTGCGCTCATTCATGGTGAAGTACATCTTGAATTTAACACTCAAAAAAAATTGTTTGGATTAGCTGGTTACCTTTGTGAGCCAGGAAATATTGAAATTTTTACCTCTACTCCCTTTCTTTTATATCTTAAGCCACAATGTCCATTATAAACGGAATTTCCCACGTACATTCGGTATTAGAACTGTGGGAGGACTGGGAACCTGCAACCATTTGCCCATCTTTCAATTCACAGCCTCCCTTCCATGGGATCTTTACTTAGCACAACCAGACCCTATTCATCTCCTCCTAACCCACCTCTTCCTCAAACAGTTGTTTCTAAGCAGCCCGAGCCGTTTACACGCCCCCCCCCCCCCCCCCCCCCCCCCCCCCC